ATTTCTGTAACTTTGCCTGTATTCTGTGTCCGTTCTTTAAATTCTCTTCAGGTAATCAGTCCTGAGTGAAATGTTGTTTTATGCCATGTCCCTAACCCAGGTCAGAGCAGGACACAATAGTTATTCAATAATGTGGCAGTGGAAGTAATAGCAGTAATAATGATTATTCATTTTGCTAAAAATTTGGGCTATAGCTAGGTTTAGAAGATTCTGGCCTGGCGCTTAAAAGGACCCTCTTTGTGTATCATGACTCAACTGAGGACTATGCATATGAGTCAGATATTATCATTACTAGCATTGTTGCAGGTTGACTTGGATTTGAAAATGTGGCTTAGACTTGCTTTTCTGTTCCTTTCCTTTGAATTGAAGTCACCCAGGCACATAGGCATAGCCCTGGTGCTCTTCTTCCCTTTCCAGAGCCATGGCCAGTCAGCACGTCTGATTGAGATGAGACATGTTCATGAACCACATAGGGAATTGGATGCCTTGTATTGTTGGCCAGGCAGAGGCAAGGATCCTTTCCATAATCCCACTAATCTGTACTCACCCTACTTAGATAAGCATGTGGGGGATGTAGTGAATGGAATCCAAAATGTCCTTTAAAACTTTGTCCCCCAGAGTCACTTAGAAACCTCTGCCTCAGCCTTTGTTACCATAACTGGCACATCTTTTCATCTCTTCATGCATTCCAGAAGCCTCTGGGTCATCCCTGACTATGCTCTCTTAGTCTCACTCTCTCCCAGAGCCAAATACCATTTTAATGACTTTTCAAACAATGTCTACTTTTTATTTTGATGATTTAAAAATTTGATTTAGTTCATAAAATATATTGAGTGAATGCTGTATTGCCTCTGACGGTAGGTAAGGCTCAAATGTTTTCTCAAAAGATGCTTTCCCCGCCTCCGCAGAACCGAGTTTGACCTCTCCCTTCAACATGCTCTTAGGAATCTGCCCCCTTCTTTGTCTAACACACTCTGCTTAATTGCCTGCCATATCTCTTTTGCCACGAGTACATCGTAAACCCCTACAGGCAAGAACTGAGATCCCCGCAGGTAGCACAGGCCCTGGGATATGATTGTTTATCAATGGATACTTGGTGAACAATTTCAGAAGTGTGCAATGTGTACTTCATCCTATGAATACACAACTCTTGCTTCTCCCCTCTCTGGTAACTTCCGGCTTTATCAAGCACACTTCCTTCTCCCTCAAAAATGAAAACTGTAGGGAGACGAAGTGGTGTAAGTGACTAATTTGTTTAAGAAACCTCAGAAAAGACATCAGAACGGGGGTATCTAATTACAGGTGATAAGCATGGAATATTTACTATGTGCCAGGTATTAGGCTTACCACTATACACATGTTAGTTCAGTTATTCCTCACACAACGTCTTGGGTCATTAATACTATTAGCTTCATTTTACAGATGGGAAACCGAGACAAGGAGAGCTTAAATAAGTTTCCCTGGTAGATGCAAAGAATAAATTGTGAGCCTGAGATTAAAACAAGCCAACTGACAGTCCTTGATATCATGTTATGTATAGTTTAGCAAAGAAATGTGACGAGCTTACACCATGCTAGACATTCTCGAAGATTCGTGGCATGCATTCATCCATCCATCCATCCATCCATCCATTCACAGGGTTAAAACCATTCAGGGAAAGCCTTGTATTTACCATTGTGCTGTCGATGGAGAGAGGATATGCGAAAGTCAAAAGATTTGAGTCCTTAAAGAGTTTCTGCTTCATGGTGGGAGGGATGAGGCAAGCATATGTAAAGTTTCCCAATCAGGTTTCCATTTGTTAAGAATTCCTGAAGATCATGTTAGTAAGTAGTATAGAGTAGAGCTGGCACTCAAATGGCCATAATGCAATGGGCATAACATTAGTATATTAGCACAATACAAATTTATTGAGAACCATCTATATTCAAGGTCTGGGGAATAGGCTGGCTTTAACATAATGAGCAAAAGCAGACATGGACCTTGCCTTCTGGAGCTGACACTCAGGGGATGAGACAGTCATGAATCAAAGTTACTTAGAAAACACAATTTAGGGGCGCCTGGGTGGCGCAGTCGGTTGGGCGTCCAACTTCAGCCAGGTCACGATCTCGCGGTCCGTGAGTTCGAGCCCCGCGTCAGGCTCTGGGCTGATGGCTCAGAGCCTGGAGCCTGTTTCTGATTCTGTGTCTCCCTCTCTCTCTGCCCCTCCCCCATTCATGCTCTGTCTCTCTCTGTCCCAAAAATAAATAAATGTTGAAAAAAAAA